CTGAAGGAGACGATATAGTTTTGGACATTTTTTTTCGGTGCCCTCTCCGATTGTGCCAAGGTTGCAATCACTATGGATTGTGTCATTCCGGAGCACTTATCTGTCCTGCAACATTGCAGAACCGAACTGCATTCTCCAGGATTAATTGGACAAGTAGGTACTGGCTCTCTTGCTATCTTCGTCTCCCGAGACCTTCAAACTAACACTGAACGCATCGCAGATGAATAAGTGCGCAAATTTTCGAACCACACCGTCACTTTATAGATATCACCTCTGCTCCTTCCTATAATTTATTTATGAAAGTGGTATTTATTCGTGTTTACACTATTCTGACATTGACTGAAACCCGAAGGAATGATCCTAAAAATGCATAAAAGTGTTTCTAAAGCTGGTGGTAAATCACTTTTATTTGAATGATGCGTTTTTCTTTCTGGAAGTTGAAAGGAGCGAAAATTATGATCTTGAAAGGCGCCAGATGAAATTGGAATGTGCTTTCAGCCCGCCTGAAACAATTATATTTTTATAGGTAGTTTTGCACCTGTTTAACTAAATCAACCCTGACTGTTTTCTTCCGAATCAGTGTATGTGTAGGTGATTTTTTTTCAGGGAAATCGAATCAGCCTGCTAGTGGGTGGGACTAAGCGACTGCAGTCTCCCAACCTGTACACATTTTACACAACAACCCTCATAAAGATAGCGGGGAACATAGTGCATATTAAAGCTATTTATTTCAATGGTAGAATGACAAATAAGTAACAACAGTCAACAAGGCATGCTACTTTAATTTTTAAAGGTGGCTACAATCTGTTCAGTCCACATCAGTGAGTCAAGTAACCAGAAAATTGAAATCTTAATATTTCCAGAAATATTGTCCGCCCCCATAAGATTCTGTACTCTTGTATTGAGCTGTGTCTCATGCTTTGCTGCCATGATTTTTCAATGAAAATGTACAAACTAGAGGAGAAAGTGATGAAGTTGCAGTCTCACTGGGAGTAGATGCTAAATAATGATGAGGAGCTTCATTGTTCCCACACCCCAGATTTTTCTAGAAATTCTCCACACCTCCACTCCACTGTCTTTCTTCCTTGTGTGTACTAAAGACAATATGTCCAACAAGGAACCATTTTCTGAGCTGCATAGCAGTTAAATGTAACAAGATGCCTCATTTAGTTTTCTTATTTTTCTGAAGTTATATTCGCAGTGAAATAGCTGAAGGAGTAGAATGCCCAGAATTTCTGCATGTAATTGATGATGTGTTTATCGTTGCAGTAATAATGTAAAGGAGATAAAGTTCCCCTGCAATGTAGGCCTCCTTTCTCTCCCATGATTTTTTTTATTAGTCTCAGATAGGTTCAAATCTAAAATGCAACTGGAAAACATTTCTGTATGTACTGAATCAAGAACAACCTCCTTGCAAGGTTAATTTCATTATTGACATTGGTAATGATTCTTGACAGCTGCTTGTAAATCATTAATTCTGTCAAATTCCTCTGCGTAGAATGAAGTTAATTCAAATAATGAGCTGAGAGAATTGAATGCATTGAAAGATGAAAAATTCCAGTACTGCATTCTACAGCTGACAGCAGTGAATAGCTAAAACAATGATTTGTTGACCTAGAAGTTGCTGCATAGTAGGATGCCTGAAGGCTGGGTAAAATGTTGAATCTCAAGGTCACTTTAGTATTGAACGGGCAGTGTCTTTAGGCTCTCTGATAGCATTTGTCAAGTGCATATTTATTCAGCTATACAAAAGGGTCCTAATTATTTCAGGGATGGAGTGTATATCAATTGTGAATATTTTCATTAATGTATCACAGGCAATAACAGGTATGTTGTGAGATATATCAGCAAGCAGTTGAAAAAGATCATTGCCTGTTGCGGGTACCCATTGAAGGACAATGTTCACCAATACTGCCTTCTGAAATGATTGTCCATTGCAGGAATACCATAAAGAATGCAAAGTATTAAATAATTGTGAAAACTTCTCTCTCATGCAACAGTATCCTCTCGTACATCCAGTTAGTTGTCATTGTCAGTCTACCCATGTAATTATTTCAAGAATTGAAAGGACAACCAATTATACCTGGAGAGTTATGTTATTGTGCAATATGTCATTATTGAGAGGTTGCTGCCTTTTACTCAAAGATCCAGAATTCAATGTTCTTTATTCTGAAGGGTTCTTGGCAGGCTGTTGACATTTGGTAAATGGAAACAGCTACCACAGCATGCAATCTTTGTATTAAAATTGAATTCTTATTTTGACCAACTTCATGCTTCTAATACATTCTTGTTCTAAGTGACATGCCATAGTGTGAGGGGGCATTATGTGCATAGTTACTATGTGCAATCAAACGTAGTTTGATTGGCAAACTAGGAAAAAAATGAGCTTTTGAAACTCATAGGATGGTGGATCATCTGGAAGTGCCTTGCCTTAGTCCCCAGTGGTGGGTGGAAGAGTGGACATGGCAGTAGTATGAATGCAAATAAAGTGTCTTCAGTTATAAAACAGCAGCATGGGAAATGTCCAGTGCAAAGAAGCACATTCTATTGGCCTAGATTTATCTATTCAAACCTGGTTATTTTTAAAGTCTTGCCTACATTTGATTTTCAATTCTACTGATTGTCAACCACTCAGATGAGCAACAATCGAGCGAACAGATTGCCTTCAGTCAGTATTTTTAGCCCAGTTCTATCCTAAAAGAAAAAATCTAGAAGTAGATGTCATCACTTAAATATAAGTGGTTGCCTACTTCAGTCAAGAAATTGTGGGGAGGGGGGAATGATACTCACTGAAGGTTGTGAATCTTTGGAGCTTTTTTTCAAAAGGTGGTGGAAGGTTGAATATTTTAGAAGTAGGTAGATTCTTGATAAGCAAGTGGGAGAAAGGTCATTGGATCAGCCATGATCTCATTAAATAGTGAAGCAAGCTTAAGATGCTAAGTCTCAGTTATGACTTCCTAGTTCCCAGCACTTTCATGGATTTTACAAACAAATTGCAGTTTATTATATATTTTATGGAAAACTAATTCAAAATCAATAGTACGTTAAAACTGATCAGTAAA